TCTTTCCCTGATTCCTTTTGAAGAATGGACTGCACCATTTCCTTGGGCGGCTAAAGGAAAGATAGGAATTGGCCGCTCAGAGTTCGCTTGCCAGGGCGGTGTGGGGCCATTTCTTCCAATAGGATCCAGTCTAGAAATGGAACAAACCTGCCCTCACACCAGCAAGGATTAAACTCCTTCCGAAAATCGCCCACCCTGGAAGGTCCAGAGTACACTGACAAATAAGGGAAGCAAGTAGGGGGTAGTGGGCATTTTATGTTTATGAGAGATGTGCAGAGTACTCCACTGAGAAGTTGTTCAAGAGACTAAAGATTCTTTGGCTCTCCGGAGGTAATTTGTCATGGATCTCTCCGAGCCTGGCTATCCTCCGGGTAAGGTTGGAAGGAATCTTCTCCGGTGCTCGTTTTGCTGAATATCACAGCACTTTTCCTTTGGATGTGTATGTAGTTGTCTTCAGATAGCCTGGAACACCTGGCAGCGCCACACAGACTTGCCTGGAGAGTCCCAGTGGTCTCTGTCCAGGCCTTCTCCTCCTCCTCTTCTTCCTCTTCTTTCTCCTTCTCCTCCCCGCCTCCTCCTCCCCCTCTTTTTCTAACCTTGGACTTTCTCGCTTTAGAAGTGGTTCCCTAGTTTATACAAGTTAAACATTTCCACTCTCATACACGAGGCTCTCCCATAGATTTTTTTTTCTCGAGGTTCTCAAGCAAAATTGCCGGTGCCACAATGTTATGATGGAAGGATGCTGAAATGACAGGCCTAGTAGACGCTTGTCTTAATCATCGGCTTCTTAATTTAGTTTCAGTGCTGTGTGTGTGTGTGTGTGTGTGTGTGTGTGTGTGTGTGTGTGTACACGCGCGAATGTGCGCGCCTCCGGGGATGTTAAGGGTGCGCGCGCGCGCGCGCGCGTGCGTTGAGAACAGTCGCTGACAACCTGCAGCTCCCTAATGAGTGACGAGGCAGGGCTGCTGCAGAAAAGTAACACTTCCCTGGTGTGAAGACCTCTTACTGGGAAGTTTAGTTCACTACTGTTCTCGCAAACCTAATCGTATAACCTGTAACCAAAACCCACAGAACAAGGATACAACACGCTAAAGAGTAACTTCTAATCACTAAATGTTAGCACCATTACCTGCTGTTAGGAAAAGATTACAGAAGAGTTGGCTCGGGCGAGGGTCGACCTCGCTTGCCACGCGTCCTCTGGAAATACCTGGATGCTTTTGCTCGGGATCCGCTCGCTGCCAAACGTCACGAGGTCAGAAATTCCCTGTGCATCTGCAGGAAGAGAGCTTTAGCTAGAGTTTGGCCTTGGGCGCCCTCCAAGGACACCCTGTCCAAGAAGCGGAGAGCAGGGTGGATTTTAGGTAAATATGGCCCGCCTTTCTTCAACCGGCAAGTAAGTAACCAGAAGAAAAGAAGAAAAGCGCTGACCAAAAGCGGGAAATAGGCCCTAAGGAAGACTTAATGTAACACCGCCAAATGGAAAAATGAGACGTGCTGCTGCCTATTCGGATGCCGTGGAGTCTTGGTTATTAATTAAAACTCGAAAAGGAATAATCTAATTCATTTCTCAAGCAATTCTTCCATTGAACTGCCTAGTCTTTACAAGGCCTGTCCTCTTTTTGGGGGGGGAGGGGGTGCAGACAGAGCAGGAGAGAAGTTTACCACTATATATACCAGAAAATTACATTTGCTCTGACTTCTGCTTTATTTGTTAACACTGCACATTTGTAGATGTCTGTGTGTGAGAGATCAAGGTTAAATTGATTATGAGGAAAAAAAATAGAATGGTAGAGAATTTGTTTCAAGTCAGAGACAACTGTATGCCCTCTGTCTTCTAAAGGTAATCACAGAGACTGAGGGGGCTGGAAATAGGACTTCATGTACTTAGGAAGAGGCCTGAGGTGGACTAGGGCAGGCATTTAAATCCAATTTGCACCCAAATTGGCCAGTAGGAGATACAAAGCCCCAACCAGGGACTTTCAACTTGCACAATACTCTGTCCAGGAACCCCCTCCCCCTCCATTTCAGCTAGTAGCAGTTCTAAAAACGAGCCATTGCTGAGACAAACGTGGGCTGCTGAGTAAACAGTGCATGCTTTGTTGAACAAGTCATATATATATATATATATATATCATATATATATCACTTTAACTCACCATAAAGTGCAATTAAAATTATTAGAAGGAATTCAAATTCACTTCTTCCCAAATCTCAAACCTTTGTCATTAGGAAAACCTAAATTTTTAAATATTATTATATTAAACTATATACTCTTTATTTCTACAAAAAATATCCTATTTTGAGAGACTTGCATTCAGACAATTTTTAAAATAATATAGCACATTCCGAATTTGAATGCAAAACATTTTCCTAGTCAATATGAGCTCCTGGCATATAAAATCAGATTATTACAGCTCTCATTAGCAAACCCAAGTTTTTGTTAGAAAGTAAACAAAAGGAGAACATATTTTCACCTGCTAAAATTTTATGCAAAATTACAAAACAATTGCATACTCAGCTTTAACCTAAGAAACACCTTAAAACATTAAAAATTCATCAGTCAGAAATGGTGTTGTATTCAAGGAATGCTCCTCCAGTTTGCTGCTGAGCTTGGATTTGAATAAAATGTCCAATGTTAACAAACAATACCCACGTTTGGCACTTTGTGTATTAAATTGATCAAACAGATTTTAGGAGGCACAATGCACAATTTGTACAGACCTGATTGAGTTAATATAATATCAGCAAATTTTACATCGAAATGATTCTGTTTCTTTTCTTTGTGTTTAAAACCAGCACAGATTACAAATTTTAATGATCTGAAAATGTTTGGTATACAAAATCATGCTTATTTCAGTATTAGCAAAAACACAAGAAATTTTTCAACACAAACACCCAGCTGTGTCTATTTTAAAAGCAGTTCAATGACAGCTTGCACTTATGAGCATGCAATCAGCTAATTTCGCTTTTTTTTCTTCTGTGTTAATCAACACTTTCCTTCCTGCATATCAGAGTACAAATAGTATAGTTACTCCACATCAGTAAATGTTTACGTAACCTGTCCTTTCCCAAGAATCCGGTTACACCGAATCATTTCACGCTAGACCGACTACGAAAACGTACCGGGCCGTCCACCTCAGAGGGGCCCTGTGTGCCATTATAAGTGGTGGTAAGAAGGGGGGCTGCGGTGGGTTGAAATTGGGAGGAGTAGGTTAGGTGGAGGAATGGAGAGAGGGAGAGGAATGGAGGGAGGGGGAAGGGGTGGAGGAATGAGGGGGAAGGAGGGAGAAAGAGGGGAGGAGGGAGGAAAGAGAGAGTTGAGGAAAAGTAGGAAGAACCGGCCTGAGGAGGGGAAAAGAGTGGGAGGAGAAAAAAGTGAGCAGGAAGGGGAAGGCCCACAGATCGCTCCAGCCGGTCGGCAAAGCCCATTAGCTCACCCGGCTCTGTGAGAAATTCTGAGCTTAGAAATCAATGTTTGGGGCCATGTCACTATCAACGCAGATTGCAGGAATCCTGGAATTTTTCCACATGTAAATATAGTTTACTTTAAAGTAACAAGATATGCAGACATAGGACAAGATACATACAGGGAAAGGATATTTGAGGTTAGTCTGACTAATAGTCAAAGCTCCTTTGTGGCATTCCTAATAGATGCATATTTTAAATTCACTACTTATTTATAATTGTCTATTTATAATTCTCTCCGAAGTTTATATTCTCTCTCTCTCTCTCTGAATTCCAAGATTGGGGGGTGGGGAGAGTGGAATAACCTCCCATTATCCTGAGTATTCATCAATTGCATTCTTTGTATTAGAATTTAACATCAAACACAGGCATCATTTTTCCTTCTTCTCTTTTCTTAAATACCAAATCTGCCAGATAATTTAACTGAGAGTTTATCAAAGTGAAGAAATGCTTACATTTTATAATTATTTACCTTACATAAGAGGGGAAAGGTGCTTTTTATTTATGCTTCTCCTCCACCTCCCTCTTCTCTCAGGCTACATCCTCCGTAAAATGTGGTATGTTTTGTGCCCATGTGGGATGAAACAGCCTTTGATCAGTGTGCTCCCCACTAAATTCCAATCCCTGGGAAATGCTGGGCCTTAGCCCTGCCCCTGGCCACGGGATCCTTTTAAAGCCCCCGATTCGCAATCTCTCCATTCACTTCAACGTTCAACCGAACCTTCCCAGTTCCAAAGCCCAAGAAGCTGGGATTGTGGGATCCACATTCCCAAGCCTCCTAGGTGCCTTCCAGCAGCACTCAGGGTGGGCAGGGCTGGCTTCAGCCTACTGTTATTTCAGAATTGAGGCCCGCACAAAATAAAAGTATTTGAGAAACAGAAAGAAAGAGAAAAAAGGGAGTGAAAATAGGAAGGCGGAAAAAAAAAAAAAAACCCGGAAAGAAATAGACGCCCACCCTTATTTTCCCTCCAATGTCAACAAGCAAAAGGAAAATATTTCCAGGGTGATCGCTCGAAGCAACCCGCTTCCAATTCGGATTAGAAGCTGAGGAGAAGCAAGAGCGACGAGGAGAAAACGACACCGACTCACCCCGCGCGTGAGCGACTGTCTAGAGCCGGAGAGAAGGGAGAAGAAAGAGAAACACATATATAGCATGTGTTACCTGATTTATTTCGAGATTGTTTGGTACTGTTTTCTCTCTGGGCACCTCTCATTTCGGAAGGCCATCAGAGGCGCCCACCACTGAGCCGCCCCCGCCCGCCGCCGCAGCACCTGGAGCCCCAGGCCCTGCTTCCCCGCGGCTCCTGAGCCCCGAACTAGCCGCCGCCCCGGCCTCGGGAACAGAGTAAGTAACCCCTGTTTGGCCCGAGCTCGTCTACCCACTTCCTCCTCCTCATCCCCTCGTTCCCAAACCTCTCCCAGACCCTCCTCCCCCAAGGTATAGGACGCCCCCGCGCGCGCACACACGCACAGGCCAGCAGTGGGCCTTCTCGTCTCCCACGTCCAAAGCTTTGCTGGAAGAGTACCTACAGGGGCACAATTTTCTTAGAGGCTCAGAAATGCCAGACTCGAGGCCTGACTCGGAAAAGTAGTGCCTCGCCTCTTCCTACTCCATTTCCTGCCCTCTCCTGGCATCCTCTCCCTGCACCCCCACTTTTCCCACCACCGCCACCCCCGGTTTTAAAAATAAAACGGATACAAACTTTAACCTCTAAGGACAAATACTGGCTCCCAAACGAAAATGACCCAGTACAATGAGAAGGAAGCCGGAAACGTGAGCTATTTGCCCTAGGAAGGGGATTTGGGCTGAGCGGGGCCGGCGGGTGGAGGAGGTGGCGGGGGCGCAGAGCAGGGCCGCGGCGCAGCGAGCTCCCGCCGGCGTATCCCTGCGCGGCTCCGCGCGGCCGCGAGGTCCGAGGCCCGAGGCCCGCGGAGAGGGGGCGGCGAGCGCCCAGGGGGCGGGAGCCAGCGGGCGGGGCGGGGGTGGGTGGGCCCGGCCCCGCCGATTGGTCGACGGCGAGAGAGACGTTCCCGCACGCCGCCGGTTCTGATTGGCCCAGCGGTAGGAAAGGTTAAACCAAAAATTTTTTTACAGCCCTAGTGTGCGCCTGTAGCTCGGAAAATTAATTGTGGCTATAGCCGCCTCGATCGCTGTCTCCCCAGCCTCGCCGCGGCCGCTCCGGGACGCGCCCGCCCGCCGCCCGGCTCTCCCCCCCTTTGGGCTGCTGCTGCTGCTGCTGTGACTGCTGCTGCAAGAGGAGGAGGAGGAGGAGGAAGCAGCAGGGGGGGGGAGCGGGGGGTGGGGGGGAGACCGAGAAGTAGAGTTGGGAGCGAGGGAGCTTCACCCCCGGGGCGGTGGTTGTTTCTTTTTTCTCTTTCTTTCTTTTTTTCTTTTTCTTTTTTTTTTTTTCTAATTCCTGAGGGGTGGTTGCTGCTTTTGCTACATGACTTGCCAGCGCCCGAGCCTGCGGTCCAACTGCGCTGCTGCCGGAGCGCTCAGTGCCGCCGCTGCCGCCCGCGCCCCCCGCGCCCCGCTCGGCACCCACCGGTCTCCGCCGCCCGCCGTGCCGCTGCCCCGCTCCCGCGCCGCCGCTGCCGTTTCCCCTCGACGACTGGGTGATGCTGGACATGGGAGATAGGAAAGAGGTGAAAATGATCCCCAAGTCCTCGTTCAGCATCAACAGCCTGGTGCCCGAGGCGGTCCAGAACGACAACCACCACGCGAGCCACGGCCACCACAACAGCCACCACCCCCAGCACCACCACCACCACCACCACCACCACCACCACCCGCCGCCGCCTGCCCCACAACCGCCGCCGCCGCCGCCGCAGCAGCAGCCGCCGCCGCCGCCCCCGGCACCGCAGCCCCCCCAGGCGCGGGGCGCTCCGGCCACCGACGACGACAAGGGCCCCCAGCAGCTGCTGCTCCCGCCGCCGCCGCCGCCGCCGCCGCCGGCCGCCGCTCTGGACGGGGCCAAAGCGGACGGGCTGGGCGGCAAGGGCGAGCCGGGCGGCGGGCCCGGGGAGCTGGCGCCCGTCGGGCCGGAGGAGAAGGAGAAGGGCGCCGGCGCCGTGGGGGAGGAGAAGAAGGGGGCGGGCGAGGGCGGCAAGGACGGGGAGGGGGGCAAGGAGGGCGAGAAGAAGAACGGCAAGTACGAGAAGCCGCCGTTCAGCTACAACGCTCTCATCATGATGGCCATCCGGCAGAGCCCCGAGAAGCGGCTCACGCTCAACGGCATCTACGAGTTCATCATGAAGAACTTCCCCTACTACCGCGAGAACAAGCAGGGCTGGCAGAACTCCATCCGCCACAACCTGTCCCTCAACAAGTGCTTCGTGAAGGTGCCGCGCCACTACGACGACCCGGGCAAGGGCAACTACTGGATGCTGGACCCGTCGAGCGACGACGTGTTCATCGGCGGCACCACGGGCAAGCTGCGGCGCCGCTCCACCACGTCGCGGGCCAAGCTGGCCTTCAAGCGCGGGGCGCGCCTCACCTCCACCGGCCTCACCTTCATGGACCGCGCCGGCTCCCTCTACTGGCCCATGTCGCCCTTCCTGTCTCTGCACCACCCCCGCGCCAGCAGCACTTTGAGTTACAATGGCACCACGTCGGCCTACCCCAGCCACCCCATGCCCTACAGCTCCGTGTTGACTCAGAACTCGCTGGGCAACAACCACTCCTTCTCCACGGCCAACGGCCTGAGCGTGGACCGGCTGGTCAACGGGGAGATCCCGTACGCCACGCACCACCTCACCGCCGCCGCGCTCGCCGCCTCGGTGCCCTGCGGCCTGTCGGTGCCCTGCTCCGGGACCTACTCCCTCAACCCCTGCTCCGTCAACCTGCTCGCGGGCCAGACCAGTTACTTTTTCCCCCACGTCCCGCACCCGTCAATGACTTCGCAGAGCAGCACGTCCATGAGCGCCAGGGCCGCGTCCTCCTCCACGTCGCCGCAGGCCCCTTCGACCCTGCCCTGTGAGTCTTTAAGACCCTCTTTGCCAAGTTTTACGACGGGACTGTCCGGTGGACTGTCTGATTATTTCACACATCAAAATCAGGGGTCTTCTTCCAACCCTTTAATACATTAACATCCCTGGGACCAGACTGTAAGTGAACGTTTTACACACATTTGCATTGTAAATGATAATTAAAAAATAAGTCCAGGTATTTTTTATTAAGCCCCCCCCCCAATCTCTGTACGTTTGTTCAGTCTCTAGGGTTGTTTATTATTCTAACAAGGTGTGGAGTGTCAGCGAGGTGCAATGTGGGAAGAATACATTGTAGAATATAAGGTTTGGAAGTCAAAATTATAGTAGAATGTGTATCTAAATAGTGACTGCTTTGCCATTTCATTCAAACCTGACAAGTCTATCTCTAAGAGCCGCCAGAATTCCATGTGTGCAGTATTATAAGTTATCATGGATCTATATGGTGGATGCAGACCTTGAAAACAACCTAAATTATGGGGAGAGTTTTAAAATGTTAAACTGTAATTTGTATTTAAGAAGCATTCGTAGTAAAGGTGCCCAAGAAATTATTTTGGCCATTTATTGTTTTGTCCTTTTCTTTAAAGAACTGTTTTTTTCTTTTGTTTACTTTTAGACCAAAGATTGGGTTCTAGAAAATGCACTTGGTATACTAAGTATTAAACAAACAAAAAGGAAAGTTGTTTCAGTTGGCAACACTGCCCATTCAATTGAATTGGAAGGGGACAAATTAAAGATTGCCTTCAGTTTGTGTTGTGTATATTTTGATGTATGTGGTCACTAACAGGTCACTTTTTATTTTTTCTAAATGTAGTGAAATGTTAATACCTATTGTACTTATAGGTAAACCTTGCAAATATGTAACCTGTGTTGCGCAAATGCCGCATAAATTTGAGTGATTGTTAATGTTGTCTTAAAATTTCTTGATTGTGATACTGTGGTCATATGCCCGTGTTTGTCACTTACAAAAATGTTTACTATGAACACACAGAAATAAAAATAGGCTAAATTCATATATATCTTGATACTTTTGTCTCTTTTATTAAGTAGAGCTAATTTTTAAAAGACCGTTGAAGTTGTAGGGAATTCAAAGGCTTTTTCAGCCAAACTAAAATTTAAACTGCTCCTTAAATTTGAACTGAGACTCTAAAAATGAAAATAGCATTTTCCCCCTTTGTGAACAAATTTTACAAGGAGCAGGCTATTTAATAAACACTAGCTTTAAACAAAGTATAGGCTTTTCAGCTGATATTTTTAAGTCTCGGTGGATATGCAGCAAAAAGAGATATAATTTAATTTTATGTGCATAGCTGTTTACTCTGTCTTTATTTTCAAATCAGTTAATAGAATGCTTTTTATATATTTTGTTTCAGGTATCTTGTTAATAGCACTTGGCAAATTATAAATAAATATATGTATATGGTTAGATAGAAGTGAATATAATGGACACATATGTAATATATATTAGAAACACAGAGCCCTTCAGTTCAGGTACAATTTGCGCTATGAATGCTGCAGACATTTTTGTTTAAATATTTGTATTTATACTTTCTAAGTCAGCATTTATTTTTGTGGCTGTTTATCCACAATGAAAGAGTTCTAAATAAAGATGTGCTGAAGTTGCAATATAGATTTTGCTGAAGTGATCACCTGTTGTAATGACTTGCAGATCGATGTTTATATTTTATTTTTAAATTATAACAGTTTAAAATTCTAGATATGCAGAAGAAGTAAAATGCCTCTCTCTCTCTCTCTCTCTTTTATTTTTACAATGTGGAGGTATTTATTTGATTCCCTTTTAAATGTGTGTATGATTTAATCTAAAGATTTGTTCCTTTTGCTTACACTGAGTCATAATTTTGTTTTAACTTGTAATATGCATATGTATGCGTATACTGTATATGCATATATATGTAAAAAAATGAAGACATTTTTGAATTGTTTCAGGCAGCCCAATTGTATAATTCCAGAAAATAATTAGAAAACCTGAGTAAAGATTTAGTAACTAATTGGATCCTGTGGTGAGTCTGTGGAGGACAAGTTGTTCATTTGTTACAATTGTATAGTCTGAAATGTGTTCTGCAGTAATGCAATAAGCTGGCTACTTCTTACAATGGGCCCAATGAAAAATAATCTGTCCCTAAGATGTTATCGGCAAACACTTAGAGAGTTGCTCAGGGGGGAAAAAAAAAAACCTAAGGGAGAAGCAAACTGACTGAAATAGATTTGAAATTGAAAAGTGGAATAGTTAATATTAGAAAATAGGGGGTGGATGAAGAGAGAGAGGGAGGGAGAGGGAAAAGGGGAGAGAGAGAGAGAGAGAGAGAGAGAAAGAGAAAGAGAAAGAGAGATATCTTTGTGCTGAAAAAAAAATCACCTACCACCAAAAGAATGAATGAAAGAAAAAGAGAGATAGAGATAGAAAGATCGAGAGAGATACAGAGACACCTAAGAATGACAGAAATATAAGGGCCAGGAAAATTAAAAGAGCTGGAACCAAATATACACAAATGGGGAATGGACAAAAATAGACCAAGACAGCTAGTTTAATTATCTCCTTTAAGCAACCAGACTTGATTTTATTTTCTTAGTACCAGAAGAGTTTCACCAGAGGTCCAAGTTTTCTTGAAATTTAACAATTCTTCAGAATGAAGCATGAAAGAAAATTTTACAAATTATGGTTTTAAAAGCCAAATTTATGGCTGATATTAAAAATGGTAATAGAATCCAAGTGAATGAGGTTAAGCAAAGGAAATCCCCATTACACATTTGTGAACCAAAATAGCTCAAAGAAAGGCATGTGTTTAAGCTGAGGAAAGGTGATGATTTATTATTTGCTTTTGCCATGGATTTTATTTGTGGAATGAATTAGCACAGGGAAAAGACAGTGTTTTGCCTACCGAAAGTTAAAAAGAAAGTTGAATTCTTATACTGAAGTATGTAGATATTAGAAGAAAGATTTCCTGCGTAAGTATTTTTTTCTGGACACATTAAATAACTATATTTATTCATGATTGTAAGTGTTTACTTGGATGATAGAGAAATAGAATTTCAATGACAAACTTTGTACTTTGAAGTCTAGAGTTAAATTAACTTCTCAGAGTTCATAAAAACTAAGTACTGGAGTTGAAGTTCTGCTTGAACACATGTCCAGGTTACGTGTATAATGGATATGATTAGAGGTTCGTTTATTAGGCATTCTAGAAATGAAGGGAGATACACAGAGGGATAAGTTTGGAAAGGCCTCCTGAAGCCCAATATGAACATTTCATTTACCTTGATCTATCCTATCATTCCTCAAGTTATCTTCTCAAAAAACACATGACAGTCTGGCATGGCCTTTAATACATTTTTGCATAAAACTGGTTGTAATGTTGTATTATTTGTTGTCACTAACCTTTGCCAGTTAAAATTAACTTATGCCAGAAAAACTTCAAAACTTTTTGAAGATTTTTTCTTTCATACTTAGAATTGTTTTTAATGAGATGAAGCTTGTTCTTTTTGCAATTTTGGAATTGAAAGTGATCAAAACTTAAAACTTGAAATCCCAAATTAAAATTTATTTCCAGGTTTAAAGTATTTTACTTGAATTTTTCTGGTATAAAGTTAATAAAAATATTAATATATAAAACACTGAGAAAATGATGTAATTAAACTAGAGCAGTGGAAGGATTCTTCCAAATATGTTTCTTCTGTTACAAAATTGGGAACCAAGTGGATACAAACTCTAGAACTAACAAGATTTAATACAAATATCCTTATGTTCATGAAAGCCTTCATGTCATTTCTATGACTTGCATAAAAATCAAGGACAGAGAGGCAAAACAATGTTTTGCAGTGTATTGATTTAAATATATATATTTAAGTTGGTGCATATTTCATCCAAATAAATGGATAAATTCAATATATTTAGAAAGCTATATAAATGTGGTTTCTAAAAAGTGTATTTTCTACATTGTTGGGGAATTTGCATGCATTGAAAAATTTTGCTTTTGAGAAATTAATTTTATGAATAGCTGAAGTGGCTGGTTGTGTTTGAGACTAAAAGCCTGTTGGAGAATTAGGCTAACAAAGGGTGAAGGTGAAGATCATTAGAGGTTTTAGAGCTGGCTGAGACGGGTTGCTGGGGTTGTGTAACTGTGCCTAGAGGGCGGGGTTCCTGTACATTCCTACTTCACTAGATAACCTGCCCCCAACACCACTCCAGCTTCTGCCAGACAGATGGAACTCTCCAACATGGGAATCCGCGCAGCCATCCCAACAAGCAGGGTAGGTAAACCTTGAATTAAAATTCGCCCTTCTTTATTTCTGGACTTGAGGCCAGATCCTGGAGACGTGGAAAGAATAGGGGTCATCCAGATTCCCTCTTTTCGCGCACACACGTCTGCATTCTTCCTAAGAGCGACTACCTGTAAGAGTTAAAAGGCGCTAGAGACCTTTCCTAGTTAATACTTCATTCCGATTTTCTTGTCCTTTTTTTTTTTTTTTTAAGGCTTTCTTTTCCCTGTCCCAATCATGCCCCTTCTCTACTCTCCCTCCAGGGTCCCTTCTCCCCCAACCACTAGCAGTTAAAATAATCCACGTCTTAGTTTTCAGCCACCAAATCGACCCTTTCCCCGTACCCTAAGGGTCAGATCTTGGGGACCTTGTCCTGAAGGTGTAGGCCAAGGGGGCTCTGGGCTGTCGAATACATGATGTAGTGTTGTGTTTTGTATCTCTTTTCTCCCTCCCGATATCTACCTGTTTTTTTCCCTCCACCCAAGATTCTGCCTGAGGTTGTCCAAAAGATGCCGAGGAAAAGAACTTGAGGACATTTTGAGCACTCTTACCCCAAGACCGGTAAGTGAGACTGCTTTTCGGAGGGGATGGGCGTGGGTTGGGGTGGGGATTGTGTGTGACTGACTCTTTTGACTGAGCTTTAAACCGCGACTTTGGGGTCCTGGGCTTAAGTGTTTGTCTTTTCTTGGAATATGTTCCTTAGTAGGCGCGCTACCAACAGACCTAGCTGGAAGAATGCATGATTTTTCTACGTTGACAGAAATCACTGTGCATCCCTAGGTAAAGAGAGTGTAGACGCGGCAAAGGAGCATTGAAGGAAACGAGACGAATTAATATGGAGAAGAGATAGCGGGGCTCTGAAATAGGTCCTAAAGTGTAAAGTGACTCATTGTGTGGAAATATGATTTCTGAGTCTTACGGCTACTGTAGGAACTATGGGACTTAACGTTCAAACCCGGGGTTATTGGCTCTCCGCATCTTGAGTTAAAGTTCTTTGCTCCAGAGCCAAGAACTTGCCTCTCTCCAAAGTTGTTCTGTTTTGTTTTTATTTTGATCGCCCCTCCTCTCCCTATTTTTACACTAACGTTGCCAACCTACTGCAGAACTGGCCCTCAGCCCCCAGCTCCGTGGCCTGGGTCAGGGAGGGTCCCTGCCGGATTTAGCTCGGCTGCTCCAGGGCCAGGGTGGCGCCGTGCGCGTGTGAGAGGCTTCTCTTCTGCCTCTTCGAAAGACTAGGGAAATGAGCGCCGTTCTGGGCTTTTCTTTGTCCCTGCTGGGAATATCCCAGTTCCCGGCTTTGGCAATCTCAGGGAAATAATTGATTCTTAATGCACACTTTGGAGATGTCGGTGTACACTCGAGAGCCTGGCTGTCCCAGAGTGGCTGCGAACGCGCGCCAGACACAGGTTGGCTTGGCCGAAGCGAACTTGGGGCCCTAGCCGCGATGTCACATTAGCCTCAGGGACTCCTGGGTGAAGTCGGAGAGGTAGCACGATGGCGGGACTTGAAGTCGTTGCGGCAGGGACACGGCGACGTCGTTTTCTCAGGCGTTGGACCAATGTGGAGCAGTAGCGGCGCGGGCTGCGCCGCAGCCGGGAGGAGAGGCGCTCGCGGGACGCCGCGGCGAGACGGCGGCAGAGGGCGAAGCCCGGCGCTGCGCAGGGAGCAGCAACGCGAGGGCGCTCTTGCCCAGCGCAAGCGGAGTTTTGCGCTCGGTAGCTCACGCTGATGCCAGGCAGAGTGACTCCAGAACCGCGGCTGGCGCGCTTCCCATCTTTTTCCTTTCTTCTTAGTCTTCTGCTCTCCCCCCACCCCTTTTTCCCTCTGAAAGTTGTTTCTTTTTGTTTACCCAGCGCGATTTCAGATCGCAGCACTTACCTGCTAGTAGATAAAACCGTTTTCTTTGTAATAGACATCTTTTCTCCTTCCCACTCCCTACCCCACCTCCCTTTCGCTTTCTACAACACCGCTTCTCTGACGGAGCCTGTGGTCCAAGGCAGAGGGGAAAAGAGACAGCCTGGGGTAGGAATTCCCCTAGCGCTAAGCGGCCTCAGGTTAGCGAGAGGAAGGCACGGATTCGGGTGGGCAGAGTACCCCCGTGTGCAGGAGATTCTCGGGCGGTTATCGTTAGTCTTAGAAAGAGGACAGGAAGGGAAGGCAGATGCAGAATAGAGCTGGTCCAGTCCGACTCCCCTCTCACTTCCCTCCCTGCAAGTTAAGACTGAATATCTATGCTTCCACACCATCCTCACCCGGTCCTCTACCAAAACTTGAGGTAGGCAGAAATTCTGAAATTGTGATCAGAAAAGGCATTTAAAATTATGGCAAATGACTCTCAAAATTATGTTTATG